GAACATCACACGAATTTAAGATCGGAGTAGAAAAATTCTTGGAGTTTTGTTCGAAAAATACCTCTAATCAAGAAGCTATATGTTGTCCATTTTAAGTGTGGAAATTTAGAAAGAATGTATATTAAGAAAATTAAGGAGCACTTATATTTTAATGGAATAGATCAAAGATATTAGAGATTAAGAGAAAAAGAAATCAAGACAATTCCTATGATGATGAACTTTTTCAAATGATTGAAGATGCAGAAGATGAATTAATTGATAAGCCACAAGAATTACAATCATTACTAGAGGATGCAGAGAAATCTATTTATCCGAATTGTACAAAGCCCACAAAGTTGTCCTCCTTATTGCGTTTAATTAATTTAAAAGCTAGATATAGAGTGAGTGATAAGTGTTTTTCCGACTTGCTTGTTTTTTTTTTAGAGAGTTATTACCAGAAGACAACAAGATGTCCTTTACGACGTACAAAGCGAAAAGACTTTAAAGTTACTTGGTATGAGCTGTCAAAAAATTCATATCTGTTCAAATGATTGTATTCTATATCGAAAAGAGTTTGAGAATGAAACTCAATGCCCAGTTTGTCATGTTTCAAGATGGAAAAGAAAAAAATTCTGAAAAGGAAGTGATAAAAGGTGTTCCTGCAAAAGTATTATGGCATATTTCTCTGATCCCTAGATTTACTCGTTTGTTTCGTAATCCGAAGCATGCAAAAAATTAAAGTTCTTATGCAGAGAATAGGGTAGAAGATGGTATTTTACAAAAAAACCTCCTAATATTGGGAAGACTGGATACCTTTGCTTTCATGCTTCCTTCCTTAGTTGGTGAGAAAGCCAGGGAAAAAAATGAACGTGCGAGTAGAATTTCCTCTCAAATGCAAAAAAAAAAAAAAAAAAGATGAATAGTCAAATATTGTTGACACCTTAGAATGTAGGGTGACTTGAAACATGTGTTTAGTATTAGTATGAAAACATTATGGTAATAGGTTTGTTTCAATTATAATCCTAACAAAATTTTGGCCATTGGATGCTTGTTATTCTTAATCCAAGAGAACAGGAAGCATACTTTTTAGATCCAATTGGAGAGAAAATTCGTTCTGATATTGCAGACACAGTGTTCCTGTAAGTTATAAATCCCTACTCTAGGAATAACATATAAGAGATTCACCATTGACACAAGAGATTTTGTCAAAAATATTTTTATTCACGTATGCTTATAAATTGTTCACCTCTGATCCCCGGTGTTTCAACCTCAAGGTACAAAAAAAAAAAAAAAAAAAAAAAAAAAAAAAAAACAAAATTTCATATTTCATGCTTTAAAGCAACTTGAGTACTTATACATGCACGTACTTTGAAGAATTAGGACACCTCTACGTTTTTTATCAAAGACCAACGACAACAACATAAAATGTTTAAATTATTTGCCTTAATATATTAACATGAAATATCAGGGAAAGCGAAAATACTATATAAACCCATGGTAGACATGACGAACCATTAATATTAGTTAATTTCCAATACTTGCAAGTAGTTTTATAGTTTCATGGCATACATGTTATTTTAAAATTTCTTAGATACTTTTTCAGAAACAGCGTTTGAAACTTGATATATTCATGTTCTATTGTGAAGGGCTTTTTCTATGTATAATGCTGAAATAGGAAGAAGAGCAAAGAAATCCCAAAACTTTGGAAAATGTTCCAGGTAATATAATTAAATTTTAAATTATAGTTCTTACTTGATTATACATATTGACTAACAATTATGTTGATGCATAGGTTCCTACTCAACCTCACAACTATGAGTGTGGATACTAGATACTCAATCTAATCTATATGAATGTATGAATGTAAGGAGCATATTGAAGCGCCCAACTATATGAATGTATTGAGATATATGGTACGCAATCTAATCTAATCTTAACTTATATAATGTTAAGGTCCGTTTTTGTCGCTGGTGTCACAGAGTGTTATAACACTTTACTGTAACACTTGTTGCGACAGAGAATCTAAGATTAAACCAACAAAACAGTAAAGCAGAAAAATAATGCAGAAACGTAAAGGACACCAGAAAATGGTATCACTGTTCGGTACGCACAACTACTCTGCGGGGCCACGCCCAGACAGTGATCAATCCACTAAGTTCAAAAGATTACAAAGGACCGACGGTCTTACACACTCAACGACTCCCTCCTTGACGATGTTGTCGTTGCCTAGAATCTCCTTAGGAAGCTTGATCAGCGAGCACCACTCGACTTGACAGTTTCCTCCCGAAACTAAAGAAATCTTCTCGTGAAGAACCAACTCAAAAGTGTTCTAACAATTCGTCGCAACACATCAAGCGACACTTAGCATCCCAATCTCAATCAAACATGAACAATCACCAGTATTCTGTTTTCAGCACATGTTTTTTTTTTCACGTTCTCCCCTATATAAAAAACACACATACCACTGTATAATTCATCACCCCTCACCAACCCTGAATCCGTCCACCAATAAGCACACCCAAAACGTGGTAAAATCTTCTCCATTAACCTCCAAATCAGATCACAACACCAATAACAGTAAGAAGACAAACATTCTCAATATTTTTCACGATTCTTTCCTTAGAAGAACCAGCCATAATGCTCCATTAAAAATCAACCAGCAGATACCTATTTCAGAATGCATTACAACCAATTTGCCAAAAATAAGTCAACACAAAAAAACACTGACATATAATATAAGTTTTATATTTATGTATTATTTTAGTAATTTAAGTTTCTTTTTTTTTTACCTTGTAGTTCAATGGAAGAGAGGAATTAACAATACAAGAGTTGGACGTTGTTCGTGACGATTGGACCGCAGAACTTGTTAATCTTTTGATGAAATGAGTACTTAATTACATATTTTAGTTCCTAGACTTTTGACTTTTGTTTTGTAATTATATTAGAACAATTACTAATTCTTTTATTTTGTTTCAGTTAAACATATTTTAATTTTAGTTTTTTTACTTTACTGTAAGAATTTGCGTGCAGATGCTATAAAATTTCTTCTGTGAATTGGCTGTAAATTTGTGTTTTTGTTTTTTTGTTTTTGGCAATGTAATAATTAAAACTTAGGAAGGAAAAAAAAAAAAGTCCCAAAAAACTAATGTTCCACGTCTGTTGTTTAACAACTGACGTCAAAAGCATCAGAAGTGGCTTACACCGAAAGGGATTTCCTTGTCCGTTGTATATCAACCGGTATGGAAACGTTTCAACGACACCTATAAACCGACGTTGTAGCCTGCAACGTTGGTTTTCGGGCGACGTGAAATGTAGGGACTTACGACATCTCTAGCAACGATATCAGTTTGATGACCGACATCATTTGGTTTCCACTACACTTAAAAAACGTAGTGGAAACCCCTTTGTGTAGTAATGCTCTTTAATTAATTTATCAATTTATTAATTTCAAAATTACTCAACGTTGAAATTACATATATTTATTACACAAAGATTTGAATCGTCCATTGATATATAACAATCCTACATAAATAGTTCATAATTAGAGCTAAGTTTATAATTCTACTCACCTCTTTAATTACGTATTTATCCTCAAGTACTATTAATTCCTTAATAAACAATATATTTATGATCTTATCATAAATTAAGTGCTTTTATTGTTCAAGACTCGAATTAACGTTTAAAAGAGCTATTTATTTGACTTCATCATGTAGGAATAGATTTCATCTTGTAAATTAACATTCTCAGCTATGTTTTTAACATACCAGGAATATATAAGATTCAACTGCATAAAATCTTTACCAAGCAATTCAAAAAACATAATGTCATAAACATGAGTTTGTTTAATTAAAATTATTCTATATATGATCATCACTTTGATAATTTTAAATACTATTTGTACTAGTGGAAAATATCAAACATTCAAATTTAATCTGTTTCAATCCTATATGATCACTCTTTATAAAATACTTAAATTTCAATTACTCTTCATTAACAGTCCTGATAAGACTATCTCATTTTTATTGGAAATGAACCGTACTAGTAATAATCAAATCAAAAATCCCAAATTTAATTATATATTACAAATAATTTAGATCATTATCCTTAAATATTATCATATCGTATATAATACTTATATTTAAAGTTACATCAATAATCATGTAAATCTATTTAAATAACAATAAACCCCTTAATCTATTTAAATAACAATAAAGTCAAAACATCAAATATTTCTAGGGAATTCTTCCTAACATATGAATACATACAAATTCAATAAGCGGTGTGGTTAACTCATAAGGGCCATAAAAAAATACTGGTACAAGTAATAGTTTGTTTAATGGAAATAAATCGTACTAGTAACAATCAACTAAAAATCCCAATTTTAATCATATATTATAAACAATTTAGATCATTATCTCTTAATATTATCCTCTTGTGTATAACACTTATATATAATATTTAAAATCACAAAACTAATTAAAGATTTTAATGATATTTATAAAACATCAAACATACAAGCATGTAAATATATAATGAAGAACCGTTTCATTTATTTAAATAGCAATAAAGCAATAACATCATATGTTTCTAGGGCATTCTTCCTGTAGAAATTAGAGAATATTTGGGCAGATAAAGATCGCGGAAATTAAGGGATTTTTGAGAATTAAGAGACGACTTTTATTTTGCGGTTTTATTTCTTCCTTTAATAAAAATTCGGGAAGATTATTACCGGAATTAGTGTAGTGATCAGTATCGGGTATCCTAGTCTAGAGGAATAATTTTAGGGAGTTGACTTTCTGTATCCCATAATTAGAGGAAGGAGATTATATTCTCTTCCTATTTAATCCCTTGTATTCTTCTCATGATCGATCAATGAAGAGAATAACAATTCTTCCAATAACAATTTATTGAGTTCCCAACATATGCATACATACAAATTTAACAAGCGGTGAAGTTCACTCATAATCGCCTCAAAATAATACTGGTACAAGTAATATTTTGTTATGTTGATCATATAACAATCAATCATTCTTGTTATCATCTGCAGTTCGTGCTTCAAAGCCACCACCGGCTCTCTCGTCTAACGAGTAAGGCATATGGGTTCCGAGTATTCTATCCCAATGAACAAAGAATGGTGTGGCAAAGTTGTACTTGCTTCCATATAGCTGATTGTTTCTAAAGAAAATGTGGAAGGGGCTCCCGCGAGGAAGCCACAATCCGCAATGATCATCGACGTTCTTGATGGTGGCAAAGGAGAAAAAGAATATGGAAGCTCGTGGAGACATGTCAGACAGAGGAACCGTTAAGGCGCTGCCAATTACGTCGCTGATAAGCCCCTCAAAGGGATGATGATAAATAGCTCCAAACGCGTAGGGAACAATGAGGCGGTGATGCTGAGAATGAAAGTGCTTGTACAAAAACTCATTTTGGTGAAAGTATCTGTGCATGAAGTATTGCCAAGTATCAAAAACCAACATTGCAGTAACGAACTGTCGTGCTAAAACCATTAAAGAAGGCTTTGGACTCGCGACATCCCCACTATTACTCCCTGTGACCTACACAATTACATAAATCCGTCATAAACTAGTCTCCTGGATATATAGATTAAGATAAAACAATATATGTGTGTGTGTGTGTGTGTGTGTGTGTGTGTGTGTGTGTGTGTATATATGAATGAACATATTGATAATACATCAGAAAGTCAGTGAATCAATGCAGCTGAATTAATGCAGGAGGTTAGGAACAATGACGATTTTGAAACAATGCAAAACCATGTTGTTACAAGTATATATGCGTGTGTAGTTATGTATATTTTGTCTTTTGGTAGATCATACCTTAAACAAAAGGCTTACAACAACAGCTTTAATTGATTGATTGAAAAGAACCCTTTTGATGACAGCTCGTTTAGACACTAAGTTCTTTTTGTCCTCATCTATTTTTGAGTGTAACCGATAATTCTCAAACGAGCACAGAAGAACATAAATACCAGAACATACCCAATATAGCACGATCGGAACAAAAATTGCCAATAATTCATCGGAAATTGTAAAACCCGTCTTCTCGAAAGGTGTTGATGATCAGAAACTGTATTCTTTTTTTTTTTCTTCTTTTACAATAAGAAACTGAATTCAAGAACTCAATATATAAAGAGCTGTTTCGGAATGGAGGTGGGACAAGAAAATAAATTATTTTCTAATAAGAGTGAGTGTAGCGGTCCTCATAAAGATTCTAGCTTTTCAATGGTTTGAATTAGATCACACTTTTCAAAGTTTTCATTTTAAATCACAAAAATCATACCAATACATTTCAAATTCATGTGGGACCATATAATTAAAAAAATCCAAAAATAAGTTTAAAAAATTCTATATAGCGTGATAAAAAAAAAATCCAACAATACTGATCTAATCCGGAGAACTTTTATCAAACTCCAAAAATTTTATGAATTTTAATTTTTTTGAAATAGCAAAAGCTAACAGAATGTCAGCTTTGTATTTTTTTCACACTTATCAATCCATCATTAGGATTTTTGTTGATGCGAGGGCACCCGGACAATAAAGCCTAGGGATGGCACGCCTGAGGGTGATTTTATTTACACGCACTAAATTCATTAATATCCCCACCAAATCATAATTTATGTTTGTTACAATTTAACTTTCATTAAAGTTATATTAAAACCACCAATATGCCTCAATTAACTATAAATAGAAATAGTATTCTTTTCAAAGAAATAAAAAAAATACATCCACATTAACTATAATTAAAAAGTATTTTTTAAAGAAGAAAATAAAAAATATATATACAAAAAAAACACATTTCTTTAGTTAACCCTAATTTCATCGACACTCAACTGGGATAAAGACATTTCAGTAAGGGAAGGATATGAGTGTGAGGGTTCAAAACATCAAGGAAAAGGCATTAAGCACGACATCCTACTAGTTATGTGATTGTCTAATTTCCTATTTCCCAGCAAATGTGCCGGGGTAAGGGTAAAGAATAAACCACACCAAAGCTCTGAATTCTGATATGCTAATATCAAATTCCTGGAAATACCTGGTCATGAATGCTGCAAAATCAGCAAAAAAGAAAGAGATTATAAGAGCTGAGTTTTGAATTAGAATATATTATATAGTCCGACTCAGACAATTGATGATGAGACATGTAATAGAATATGATACTTCTTTAGATATAGCAACACTTTAACATGTGTCGTTTGTGATTGTTAATAAAATGATTTCAATGATTATTATAATAATAATAAAAACTCTTTTGACATAAGTTTATGCTATTTATTCCATTATAACATTAATAGTTGAAATTAATTATTTTAGTTTATAAGTCAAATTAAGATTAAAATTAGAGTAGGATAAAGGGATGATTTTTCAAATTTATAATAAAAGGCATTAATTATTAGAGTGTATCTATAAATTTTTAGGGTGAAAATATAACTGCTCCTTTAAAATGTAGAGGAGCCTTTAGCAAAAAGGGCAAAAAAAAAAAAAAAAAAAAAAACCAAAAAGCAAAAGGCCAAACAAATCAAGAAAGAAAAAGAAGGAAAAAAATAAAAAATAAAAAAAGCAAAAAGCAAAAAGCAAAAGGCCAAACAAATAAAAAAAGAGAAAAGGAAATAGAAAGAACGGAAATAGTAGGAAATAGATCAATATGAAAAGTTTAAGAAAGTATATAGGCCAATTTTTAGTTATAGAAATTAATAGGTCATAACTTGTCAAGTTATGGTTCATAACCAGATAAGTTATGGACAAACTTGTCAAGTTATAGTTCATAATCAGATAAGTTATGGACAAACTTGTCAAGTTATGGTTTATAATTAGATAAGTTATGGACAATAACTTGTCAAGTTATGGTTCATTACCAGACAAGTTATGGACGAAAATAGTAATTTAGCCTATTTATTAACTTATGTAAACTATTAGCCTATTAATTTTAATTCATCTCAAGTCTTGGCCTATTTTCCTCTTTCTCCCTAGAAAGAATGGCACAGATAAAGGTGGACAAGTAATAAAGTTTGACTTGTTTATATATGAATATAGAATGGTATCTCACACTATTATAATTACCGTTAAAATAATAATTAAGAGCTTGTTTATTTTATATATTAAAACTCAAATTATTAATTTTGTTATAATGTTTTTCTCTCAAAAAAATTTAAATTTCAAACGTTAAAAATAAAAATTATAATTTGCGTATACCTTCCAAACAGACTTTAATTACATTTTAAAAGAAAATTTATGTGGATACAATTTAAAAGGAGTCTAATGAAAATCCACTCTGATATAAAACATGGAAATTTTTTTTCGAGCACCGGTCGGCAAATACTCAAAACATACATCTCTTCTACACGTCGTCCGATTCTACACAGAATTCTACAAACAGCTCAATTTTCATAACGGATATCCAAAGTAAAGCCATTCAAAATCCTTTTCAACAAAACCAATAATATACTTAATAAAACTCAATCCACGAAAGACTCTTTAAACAAGAAAGTAAATTCATATTAAAACTTCGATAAAATGTATTTCATAACTTCTAAACTTTAATCATAAGCAATCATTTGAATAAAAGTAGTCTAGTCCGCTTACTGGACTTAGTTCCAAAATCATCTTAATCGTAAGAACACCTTCATAATAAGAATAAATTCATTTAAAACTTGACATGATGCACGCGTGACTCTGGCTTTATCTCGCCATGCATCCGCTCGAACTCCTCCATTCTAAACCCTGTTCTTACCATTATTTGTATCATCAACAAGTCTCCATAAACGAATGCTTAATAAGTACATCTTTAATCTCAAAAAAAAAAAAAACGTCTCGTTATCATCACATTATGCATCATAATTCATGATATTTATGAACCGTCAAACTCTATTTAAAACCCAGACTTTAAAATTTAATAGTTAGAGTCCTGCCGTTATAACTTCAAAATGCGCTGAGCAACGACAAGGGTAGGGTAGCTGTTCCCAAACCTATCGAGACTAAAAATCTGCTCACCATATATCATCATTCTATAATCATAATCATGAATGGTGTGAAGCGCCTTTTAAAAAACATTTAAAATCATAAAAAAAAATATATGTATATAATATACATATATAGGTTTCATCAAAACTTTTATCAATATAATAAGAAAAGTAAGTAAAAATATCAATTCGTCATCATCATGAATTTAGCATATCATCAATATACACTTCTCAATCTATCATCATCGTCAAGTTATCATAATCATTAAAATATAATTTTGTTCATATTACAAGTGAGAACGTACTTATTAAAAAACTTACTTAACATTTTTAAGTTAATGACATGGTGTTTCAAGATCATATATATAAAGACTGAGTCATATGATCATAAATTTTTATGTCACAACATCATAAATTAAACAAAATTACTAACATCATTAAAAAAAAAGGTCATAGAACTTCTTAAACCTTCACATTATATCATATCATAACAACAATTATAACAACTTTTATCATCAAAATCATCAAGTTCTAACTTAAAAACTTAAACACAAATTCTTGACGTTGTGACCTCTGTCCCTTTTGAAAAACATAATAAATCGCACAAGCATCCAATAAAGCTGAATTTGAAGTGATCTGCACGCCACACGGGGAATCTCACTGTGTAGCATCAGAAATCTCTCCTCCTGCCTGATTTTTTTTTTTTTTTTTTATCTCCAAAAAGTTCAAATTTCTATTTTTGGAAAAAGCTTGTTTTTAAAGACAGAAATATTCCAATTCAAATTTAGAAAGTTGCAGATAAAAAACTGGATACCACAGGGACTCTTTCTCTGTAACAGGCTTGCACAGTGAGGTTCCACCACAGTTTGTCATCCAATTTTAATTTATTTGAATAATCACAATTATTTGAATCCTTTAATTAATTTAAAATTAATTAAATGGTCCTCTAAAATTGACCACATAATGTCAGAGTGTGTAATAATCTAGAATCACCGAAAACCAATGAATCTCCTTATACGTCAAAACCTAATATGAAACAACGCTTTTTTTCGCTCTTATATATATATATATATATATATGCCTCGGCAACATAGGTGACTTCGGCTTTTATATATTATATAATAAAATTAAAATATGACATGTTAATATAAAATATATATATATAAACAGATATATAGTATTAGATATATGTACTTCACTTGTCGCAAAAAACCTCAAGTCGTCCTAAATAAAGTTTTTTGCGACGACATGTCGTCAAAAATTATCGTCGCAAATAAATTATTTGTTACGACATAGTGTCATCGCAAATGTATTTGCGATGACAATCGTCGCTAATATGTTGCCGCAAATTTCTCGTGATATGATCTATTTTTGCGACGACATTTCAAATTGTCGTCGCAAATAATCTTATTTTTTTACGACGCCAAATCTAAAAAAGTCGTCGCAAAAAAACAGAAATTAATTTTTTTTTAATTTTTAAAAAATGGCAATGAATTAATTTTTAATATTTTTAATTAAATATTATTATGTTACATACTGAATAGAATTTATTAAGATACATTAAAAGTGAAATATAAATTAATATTAAAACAAGTAAATCTAAATAAATTTATAAAATATATTATGAATACTACATGAAGTGCATATATAATGTTAAAAAAAATATAAAAGTCTAAATAAAGTGAAAAATAAAAATGTACATATAACGGAACTAATCGTCTAAGTTTGCAGCGATCCAGCATCTGAATCATCATCAGGACCGTCATCATCTGAAGGAGGCAGAGGAGCGTCTAGGTCAACTGGTTCTAGATGATCAAACGTAGGTAATTGGATATTGGGTTGCAATTTAGCCATCAACTCTAACACCTTCACCTGATTCTCATAAATCTTAACTTGTTCCTGGTACGATTTCTCTAAATAATGACTCATACGTGGGTCATGTTAAGCCGATGATGTTGCGTTCGAGTATGAACCAGCAGATGAAGAAGAAGTCTCGGAGTAATGCTTTTAGGAGAGCGTCGGACCCACTCCTATCTTATGTCCTCTACGCATGCGAAGAACTTGCTCCAAAACCCCATGCTCGTCAAAGGCGAGTCTAGTCGAGCTTGAAGTAGACTGTGTTCTCTGCGTTTGTCTCTCCTCTTCCAGGGTGTTCTACATAATAAGACATTATAATTGTTTATACGTGTTATAAAACCACTATTTCAGTATAAAAAAAAATTTAATATGAAAAATAAAAATACTTACAAATGTATGTTTTGCTTGGGGATTAACCCAAGAGGCCCCGCGACGATGCATGTCCCCCCAATTGTCTATGGCAGACATCGGCTCTTGGGTCTCCGTACTGGCCTGTCAAATAAATTACATTTGTTAAAATTCTTAAATTCTAACTAAATTTCGGCAGCATAACGGCTTATTTTTCATATAATTCAAAAAACAAAACCTGTAAAAAAATAACTTTAAAAGATTTCGGTACACCATAGCTGCAAGATGTGCCACCCAGAATAATCATCACAAACATATAAGTACGATAATGAAGTCAAAAAAAAAACTTTAGAATAATGACTTCGTTTTAATGAAGTAGAAAAAATAACTACTAACCTTCTTATTGTGATGCTGAGAGTACGATATCCGATCATGTAAGCTTGGATACTTTTGGTTGCTACGATTAGTTTTATTTGTCTCTGATATTTTCTGTTTATGATTAACTATAATAAGTAATAGTAAAATTAAGCAAATTATGTATAAAAAATCATCAAGTTGTAACAAATCTATAATTACTTGAAATTTGTCAGCGGAGAACCTATCGCAACAATGATCCCAATGAAGTGGATTCCTCATGTTACTCGGGAGACTGTCTCTACCATAGCGTTTGAAGTGGCGGTGCAGTGAACTTTTTCAGTCCTTGTAGCACTTTGTTGCCTCCCTATCAACTACGGACCTCAGAATACTATTCTTATAGTTGTAGTCAATGTTAAACCAGTCCTTGCAAAACAGTTTCACATCATTAAAACACGTTGTTATGTTTAATTTTAGTATAAACTATACAAATTATTAAGCAAAATAAATACCAGCATCCGGTTCTGAATTGTCCTCTTGTCTATGTCGCTAATGTCCTTCCAAGCATCGTGAAAGGGCTCGCATATGTCCCTGGTATGAATACCAACTGCACTATCAAACCAGGAACCATATTTACCAAGCGCCTTGCAAGTACCTCATGCCTTATCAAATTGTACTGTGATTTTACCGTCTTGAAGGACCTTTGGGGCAATTTCATGACCTTTCGCCCCACCTCGACCTCTACGTTGTCGAGGTTCAGGTGCTGTAAGCATATGTAAGCATTTCAAATCAACATGTACTACTACATTTATTTATTATATGATAGAACGGGAAAAAAGTCAGAATAACATACCAGACTCACAGAATGCGGGGAGTCTGTGAGGACTGGGAAGAGGCTGCGCTCCCCTTAAAGAGCTAGCGCAAGTCGCTACCAGACCAGCCATGAATGCCTGTGAACAAATTCATATTAATAACAATATGCATGTCGTTTCCGCTTGTTACCACCATACTTTTCATGTTTACCAGGCAATCTGACTAACACATTTTCTAACTGAGCTAAGATTTGGTGAACAAATTTTTGAGCCGGTGGAGGTCGCTTCTCAACCTTACCATCAAACTTTTTATTCTTTCTCATCCCATGATTAATAGGAAGCCATTGCCGATGGCCAACAAAACAAGTCTTACTTGTTATTCTCTTTGAAGGGGTTACATTGTTGCAAGTTGGGCATGCTAAATAGCCCTGACCACTCCATCCAGATAAACTACTACGAGCAGAAAAATCATTAACTGTCATGAGCAACACAGCCCGCATCTGAAATGATGTATTCGAAATTGCGTCACGTACAATTACTCCTTCATTCCACAAATCTTTTAGCTCATCCACAATAGGCCTTAAAAAGACATCCATATCCTTTCTGGGTGCATTTAGGCCAGAAATCAACAATGTCAACATCTTATAAGGATCCTTAGTGCATAACCACCGGCAACATACTGTATGAGAGGCTCATGTTCCCGAAAGGATTGAAACCATCAGCGGCCAACCCCAAGCGAACATTTTCGGCTCACGTGAAAACTCAGGATACTTTTCACCTACCTCCTTCCATTCATTACTATCGACTAGATGACGCATTAAATCCTCATCATTTGAATGCCCACGCTGGTGCCACGTCATATCTTTAGCTGTGTGACGAGAACCATACAGAAACTTCAACCGATCTATTAATGGGAAATAACGTAGTACTTTCCACAGTACTTGTTTAGTACCTTTTGTCTTTTTTTCTTCCAACGGGATGTTTTACATACTGGACACGTTTGTAGATCAGCGTTCTCCTTCCAAAACAAAACACAATCGTACTTGCAGACATGAATTGTTTCGTAACCCAGTCCAAGTTTACTCATGAGCTTCTTCGACTCATAATGAGAAGAAAGTAACTTCACATCTGGGAATGCATCTTTCAATAGATTTAACAGAGCATCCATACTCTCATTAGGCCACTTGTATAACACTTTTAAATGCATCAATTTCAATAATAAATTTAAAGATGAATACTTAGTCCAGCCCGGATATAATCCCACCTGAAGCTTTGAAAGTAGATCCTTAAATTCAGCGTACTATGCATCTTCTAGATCCACATGCGTCTCATCTAACATTTCATGGTCATCATTAATCCCAGCAACGTCTTGTAAGATTGCAAACATCTCGTATACTGGTTGA